TGTATGTGTTTGTCTACAACTAATTTGCTCATTTTGCGCATTTGGCACGGCTATTATCAAATAAATAGTTAAAGTTCAGTATGCTTGAATATGGTATTTTCAATATTCTCCTGAAGTTTTTCGACTTTGCGAGTTTGTTTCTTAAGTAGCTCCTCCATATCTTCGAATCGATTGCTTTTGTCCTTGTGCTTTTCGTCCTGGTGTGGAAAATAAAGCATTTCAATCAACCAATTACACATTATTATTTCTCAATAATACCTTGTACTTCTCCTTGTGCAGAGCATGTTCCGCATGTAAATGACGTAACTTTAGCAGGCGACTCTCAAAATGATGCAATTCGGTTTTAAGAGACGCCAGTTCCTGGTCCGTGAAATTGTTTGCCTGTGCCACACGCCATAAGCCCTGCACCTTTGGCTCTATAAAGTCCTGGCTATGTGGTCCGGAGGATACCAAACGCTCCAGGCGATCATAGTGATCCTTTATGCCAACATGATGACCACGCAAAGCATTCATGTCGCTTTCAAACTTTTTTACATTTTGTTCATGTGTTTTAATCTCATTATCGTTGGGATCATTGGAAATGAGATTGTAGCTATCCAGATCTTCGGTGTTGATAGCATCTAAGGAAATTATTGCAAAATGAACACATAGACATTTGTTTTTATAGTAAAGGTTAACTTACTCTCATGCTTATCAGTATCCAGGCTGCCAATGTTCTCCAGTAGGCTATAATACACATCCACTTTGTCCTGATGATGCTCAAACTCTTGTTTGAGGGATTTAAGCTCTTCCGCCGTGAAACCGGATATTTCCGCTTTCTCCCACAAACGGTTCAGTTTCTTGTCCTTAAATAGACTTTTGTTTTTGTGTCTCTCCTCGGGATCATGGAATTTCTGTGTAAAGCAAAACAATTATAACAATCTGTAGCACTGAGTCGTTAAGCCTTGTCCGTACTTTAAAGGGCTTTATTTTTTCCGCATCCTGGGTATCTTCAAAGTGTTCCAGCAAATCATAGCTGCTCATTATTCCAATCAGCTTCTGGCGCAACTCATTAGCCTTCAGACCATCCTTGTCCTTGTGCTGCGAGTTGAGCTGCTTCCATGCAATCTCCTCCTTATCGTGGATCTTAAGCTCCATGTACAAAGACTTTATTTTGCTTTCAGTCAAACGCTAAAATGCATATTGTTACAATTTAAACGTCATGAACGAACAAGAAACACTTACGTTTTGTGCCTTGGACCAAATCAGATTCAATTTAGCCATGCGAAAGGGTCGCTGGAGATTCCGAATTTCCGGCTCATACTTTTCCTCCGCGACTTGCTTGAAATGCGGGCTGTTTGCCTCTTTGCTGTACTTTTTGCTCTGCTTTCTGTCGGCGTCCACATATTGCGTTGCAATTAATAGGAATATGGCGGTAAGTGCCACAATTAAGTGACACGTTTTCAACATGATATTTCTGCAAATCTGATCAAATCTTCTAAACTAGCCTCTAGTGTTGGGTTGGGAGCACAAAAAGAGTTACTGATTGGACTCAGCTCATGAGCTGGTTCTTTTCACGGCTCAAACGATATATTTATCGATATGTCCAATTTGAATAGCTGGAATGAGTGTGACAAGGATGGGGCATTCAAATAAAGCCCGCTAATATAGTTGACATTTATTCTTTTAAATATTATTTCTTTTGAAAATGTGCTGTAACACATAATAAGTTATTTTCAGTTGTATTTAATACTGTTTTATTTAACCGTCTACGTCCAGTCCAAAGTGGGTATTTACAAAAATTATATTAAGACTGCATTTTTCCCAAACATTACATACTAAAACCGAAAATATAATGATAATAATTGCACATGGTGATGTCCCTTTCAGTTTGTAAAGGTATGTTCAGATCATCGAATGGCCTGCGACATATGTAGAGGCGTAACCATCAGCGTCAGTTCAGCATCCTTAAGGTTAGCACCTCGCAAATTGGCCTCCTGCAAATCGCTGCCTGATAGATTGCAACGTTCCAGGTCGGCACCGGCCAGTACAGCGGCGCGTAAATTACAATTTTTCATATTTGCATTTTTCAGATTTGCTACGCGCAAATTGACACCGGCCATATTACTGCTCTCTAGGCAGGCACCCTTCAGATTCACACCCTCCAAATTGGTGCGCACACCTGTTGGATCCTCAAAATTGCAGCCACGCAAATTGGCGCCCTCCTAAAAATGAATGAATACATAACTTTAGGAATAAAATTGACCAGGCGTATTTCGTGCTCGTATCCTAGTGGGGATTCATGTTTGCGACGTGTTAGTTAATTCCGACACGCGCACATCTCTAGCATACACTGAGAAAATCTTTACCATGTTGGCACAAAGTCCACGCACTGAGACTAACTGAGCGCATTCCAGATTCGCATACTGAAGATCCGCACGCTCCAGGCAGCAGTAGTTTAGATTTGTGTGCGATAAATTGCAGCGCGACATGTTTGCATACTAATAAAGAAGAGAAAGTAATCAGTATAGATAGTAATTAAATATCAGAGAGCACTGCACACCTTAAAATTAATGTTCCGGAAGTCCAATTTTCGCAGATCGGCTCCGGCTAGATTGACACCCTGGAAACGCAGTTCCGTAATAGCAGATGTCTGTATGATGGCTTTTATGACGTCCATGCGCGTCAGTGGTCTATCGTCGAGCTGCTCCTGTTCGCCCAGTCGCTCCTCCAAGTGTGTGACCAACGAGTAAATGCCAAAGAAACGCGCCTCCTCTAGAACGCCCTTTAAGCTGATGTGATTGTCGCACACAAATTCGCCGTGACGCAAATAATTAATGATCGGCTCGAAATAGCGAGCACTTCGATCTATCAAGTACGCGCCCTGTTCGTCCCTTTCACTGGGCATCATGCCACCATCCTGTAGAAACATTCTCGCTAGCATTGAGTCTGGTTCACGGCCAACGAGCGTATCAATAGTTGTTGTATAAATTTTTCCGCCCACATTTAGTTTAACCCATTTATTGGATGGGAAAGTGTGGGGGGTGGGTGCTACACCGCTAACTGCAACAACAGCATTTGTATTTTTTTGCGCTCCATCACTTTCCATTGGGTTAAATTTTTTGCAATTGTTTTGTTTTGTTGTGGTTTTTGTTGCTGCAATTTCAGCTGCTCCGATTTCTTTGTTTGGGCGAACGGCAAATTATCGTTAGTGTGGCCGCACATCTTTGTTCAGCTATCGATAACAATCGTTTGTCTTGCGATAAAGTATCCATTAATAATCTTATATTATTGAGGAAAATTTAGAATCATCCTCCGTCAACATACATACGTACATTTCTAAAAAGTGCTGCACTCCCAACATTAAGAAACAATATGACAACGGCCGATGCCGAAAGACCTGTTGGCAGCGGCAGCAGCAGCAGCAGCTCAACTGCCAATCAACGGGGTGTCAGTCGCGTACTTGCAAAGTTATCCCATTCGTTGGCGGAGGGAGAGTTTTATGAAGCACACATGATGTATCGAACGTTATATTTTCGTTATACTGCCCAGAAACGTTACCAGGACTGCTTAGATTTGCTATTCGACGGTGCACAGAAACTAATCGAGAAGGAGCAGGAAGGCAGCGCTGCGGATTTGTGTTTATTGCTAGTGGATACCCTGGAGAAGCGTGGCCCGCGACCGGATGACACGGACAATTTCGAATGGGTGCCTCGCTTTGGTGCATTAATACGCGGATTGAGCGCAACTACAGTGGAGCGCGAGACGCTGATCGTATGTCAAAGTTATTCAATTTACCCAACTATTTCTTATATGTTTTGTTTTGTTACATTAGCATCGCGTTGTGAAATGGAGCACCAGTGTGCACGGTCAGTTCGGTCATCCGGTCTTGCACAAGCTTATTGCGCATGTGTTCTGGACAGAGGGAAACATTGAGTCGGCACGCCACCACTATTTGCTCTGCCAGGATGGTAGCCTGTGCGGGCGCGTGCTGATTGAAATAAGCCAGAGCAAGGGCTTCCACAAAGAAGTCGATTTGTTTTTGGTGCAGGCGGTGCTGCAGCAGCTATCATTGAAGGATCGCAAAACGGCAGATGACATGTTTAGCGAGTATACACGATACCATCCAAAAATACTGAGGCACGAGTTTCCCTACAAGGAGCCGTTGATCAATTTCCTGTACTTCTTGTTTCGACTTATCGACACGAAGAGTGTGATGGGATTTCGTGCTCTGCGCAAGCTGTATGATCCTTCCCTGAAGCGAGACGCTTCCTTTCATAAATATCTAACGAAGATTGGTGTCATATACTTTGATGAGCAACCGGAGCAGGTGCATGCTGGTCCCTCCGGGCTTGGTGGCATGTTTGGCGACATCTTCAACCAGCTAATGCAGGGTTTCGATGAAGAGGATGAGGTGCAAAGCAGACCACAGCGACAGCGACAAAACGCTAACAGTGAACTGGACTAACAGCAAATGCCGTGGCCGGATTAGCAGTCCGCGAAGTCAACGGGGTTCATTAATACTTATCTACCACACCGGGGCTTTGTTTGTAATGTTATTATATATTTGCTAAATTAAAACCTTACTGGCATTTGCAGTAATAAGCATAAATGATTTATGTATATACGCTGTTAGTGTGGGCAGCCGAAATATCCCTAAATGGCAAAGCACAAATTCCACAGAATGGCATTGGACGACACAAGTTCATACGCTGTTCGTAGTGTAATAGTGTACGGTATAGTTATCGATAAGCTGTTGCTCGATATAAATCTCTCATTACACATCTCTATTGGAATGTATTGTATTTTTTAGTACATGGCCGCATGCGGTATTTTACCACGTAATTCTGCCGTTTAACAGCAAAATGCTGAGTTAAGAACGGTTTTGCTTTAATTTTGCAAGGCAATTTTTAACAACTAAAATTACGGTTACAAGACATGTCATATATAAAAATGTACACCGTTGCTTACACGTGAGTGGGATTGGAGTAAACAAATATAAGTCACGTGCCCATCTCTAGTTCACATATATTTTAGTTTCAGATAGAGTTGAATAGAAAAAGTTGAAAATTAAGTTTTATTCTTGGGCTGTAAAGGAAACAGACCTAATCGAGTGACTTTCAAATTTCCGAGTAAGTTAACCGCGTTCAAATTCCAAATGCCTAGACAAACGTACGTAAATCCATCTAAATACGGTGCCATTTGCAGCGATATGGATGATAAAGCAGCAGCGCCCACTGCCGACGCTGCAACCGAAACAGAGGCCGGTAATGAAATTTCATCAGCGCTAGATCACACAACGGTCACATTGGAGCCATTGCCGACCACATCAAAGTCGACAATTGCCGAAACAGATGAGGCAGAGAGGCGCACGGCGGCAGCTGCTGCAGCAACAGCGAGAGATTCGTTCAACGTGGACACGGAACGGTGCTGTTGGATTTGCTTTGCGACGGACGAGGACAATCGCTTGGCGGCCTGGGTGCAGCCCTGCCAGTGTCGTGGCACAACAAAGTGGGTTCATCAGAGCTGCCTGTATCGCTGGATCGATGAGAAGACACAGAAGGGTAATGCGCTTCGCTCTGTATCCTGCCCGCAATGTCAAACGGAATACATCATTGTATTCCCACAAATGGGCAAACTGGGTGGTGCCTTAGAAGCCATGGACAATCTGGTCAAGCGTCTGAGTCCGTTTCTGGCGGCGGGCTTTTTTGTCGGTTCGCTGTACTGGACAGCGGTGACTTATGGCGCTGTGACCTTCCTCCAGGTGAGCCCATCAGGCGAAAGCTACATATAATGTCATAACGATGTTCATGCAGATTGTTGGTCACGAGCATGGCATGTCTATAATGGAATCCGGTGATCCGCTCATACTACTAATTGGCCTACCTGCCATACCAGTTGGCCTGGTACTTGGTCGGCTAATTCGTTGGGAAGACGCCCTGTTGCGTTTGATACGCAATCGCGGCACCGTCATGCGCAAGTTTCCCTTTGTGAACTTTATATATCCAGACCTGTAAGTTTCTCAATCTATCTGATAGTGGCTTTAGTTGAGGTTATTTTCGTTTGCAGTAATCAGCAGGAGGAAGAACTGCCGACATCTTCAAATCCGGCCACGCCGGCACTTTCGGATCCAGTTTCGGCAACTCGCATATTTTGCGGAGCTCTGCTGCTGCCAACAATTTCATGCATTGTGGGTCGCATATTGTTCGATTCCGTGGAGAACACACTGCATCGCACACTACTCGGCGGTTTAACCTTCATCACTGTGAAGGGCATGTTGAAAATCTATTTAAAACAGAAGCAATACGCGCGTCGCAAGAAACGTCGTATTGTCGACTATACGGAGGAGAACATACGCAATTTTATGCATCGCAACAATAACAACGCTGGTGCCGCTGGTATTGGTGGGGCTCGTCATATCCTGCAGCAGCAGCAGCAACAACAGCAGCAGCAGCCACAGCAACAGCCAGTGCTGGCGATGCCCCGCCTGGTTGCTGCTGCGGCGGCTGCTCGGGACCGTGCTGCTCGAGACCGCGAGCGGGAAAGGGAGCATGAGGTCAATGGTGTGGACAGCGTTGTTTAGATGCAAATGGACACTCAATTGAAATTCAATTGATATATAGCTATATACTTATTGTTCAACTAGTTCAGTTTTGGTTTAAGTTCATTTTGTTAACCACTCAAAAACACGGGGCACAGGTCACCAACAACTCAGAAAATCAAAAACAAAAAAAAAAAAACAAAAAAAATGCACCTGCGTACATGCGAGCCAAATTCAATGTTAAATCTTGCGAGATGAAGCCCTTCAGGAAGGAACGATTAAGTCAGCCGCATATTGGTTGGTCAAATTTTATGTTATCAATAAAATATGAGAGAAATCAAATTTGCACTGTCCATTTAGCTATTAAATATATATATATATATATTTATATATATATATATATATATATATATATACATACACATATATATATAAATAACTAATTATAACACATATTATGCATATATGCTTCCACAGAATTGAATTTATGTTAACATTGTGTAAACTACAAATACTGCAAAATTGCCTATGTAAATAAAACCAAAGCCCTTGGCTGTGGGTGGGTTTATAATGATGCCAATATTAATTCACTGTGTATTTAAGATCCATGCCCCAAAGTGCAAAATACGTATTTGACTTGGCCAGATTAGATTAGGCTCGCCGCGACTGTTCCCACTGCAATCGCAGCAAGAAAGTGTGAATAATTTCTTTATTTTAAAGCACTCGCCCTGTAAGCCGCTCGGCCTGAGTCATCAAGATAATGAACCCGCTTTGTGAGTGACCGCCCCGGCAGCACTTACTCGGCTATATGTGTGAGTGTGTGTGTGTGTATGTGTGTGTGCGTAGTTAAACATGGCTTGAAGGTGCTGCACAAGAGCCGCAACATCATCCCATCTATCATATGTACACAAAAGTTACAGTTAAAGACCCGGACAAAGTGAATGCTCCAAAAAGCGATCTAATCATTTATAATTGTTAGCGACTCGAGTGTTTGTTTTGTCTATTTGCGCTTATCATCGACAACACACGAGCTGCTAGATGGTATCTGTGTGTGTACATATACAAAATACATATGTATAACAAACGCAAACTTCTGTCCGCCAATAGCGACTTTTGCAGTGCGCTCTAATCTCTTTAGTTAGGCATAAATAGATTTCTTGGGCGCACTTTTTTAAGTTTTAAGATTCAGTTAGATCTGCAAGCTTAATGTTTAATGTCTCTCGAAGTTGCCCAAATAGCTCTGTGTCAGATTAACCGAAACTTTGAGCTTAAACGAAACTATGATAAAATCTTTTTGTTGCAGATTGTACACATTTCGGTTCCGGCCGGTTTGTATTACGATATCATATCATATATATCATAAGGTTTTCGTTTCGATTTTTTGTTTGTTTTTAAAGGTGTCTTAACAAAATTCGAGACTTACAGGTATTACTAAATGCATGTCGGCAAAATTATTTAATAATAATATTAATATAAATATTTTATTAATTGTAGTGCATTAAGGCAGTCTGCAAGGCTGCGTCTATTCAACATGAAGTCATGAAGCACAACCAATACAGAGCCAAATTCGCACACAGGTGATTTATATAGGAGTGTGTATGTGAACGTGTGTGTGTGTATGTGTGTGTAGTGTGCGAGTGTGTAGCCCACCTGTTTGGCTTTTCAGGAGCAATCACACGCTCTTGCGTTCACCGCAGTTGAAAGATTTCTTGCTGCTTTCTTTCGCTGCAGTCACACCAGCAACAACAGCAACAACAAGACCAACAACAGCAACAACAATAACAACAACTCCAACGGGTTGCGTTTGTTCTTTGTGACTGAGCGTCCGTTGGGGGCCAAAGGCGGGCGCACTCATAACGTAACGAATCGCTGGAGCTGGAGCTGGGAGTCGTGTCGCTGCTTCTCGACTCTGTTGCTGTTGTCGTTGTTATTGCTTCTGCTGCCGCTGCTGCCGCTGCTGCTGCTGTTGTTGCTGTCGCCGTTGTCACTTGTGTGCGACGACAGCGACTACGGTTAATAACAACGTTGAGTCGGCAACTCCGCAGTCAGACGGGCACCGGCGACCAACACGCATCGGCAGCGACGCGTTGCTCTGATAAAAGCGGCAGCAAAGAATACGAAAAAAGTTGAAAGAAAACATATGTAGAAATACGCTAATATATATTGTATAGTACGTTAGTCGGTATCAGTCGCGAGTTTCTCGGCATTATAACAAAATAAACGAAATGAACTGATACCAAATCGAGTTGTTGTCGCAACTGCAACTGGCCACGATTACTGATTGTCATTGAAAAAGGTGCAGCAGCAATTATCATTGAACCGGCGACCAGCAACAGCAGATACCCACGATCCTTGAACAACATGAGCAACACCATGACCGCCGCCCATGAGCCGACCATGCACTATCTGGACAGCATCTTGAATGAGGAGGAGAAGCGCTGCGATCAATACTCGCATCAATGGCGCAATTTCACAATATCACGCTCGGGCCGCTTCAGGTCGAAGAACAAGAAACGGGACGTGGTCGACGGGAAACTGTTCGATGGCAAGGAAAATGATAAGGTGCGTTCAGGTGCTCCTTTTAGCCCAGTTTTGTAGTGGCCCATTTTCATTTTCATTTTCATTTCATTGCTTATCGGCGGCCACTCCAAAAATAGACAATATATATATATATATAAATCAATGACAGCAATATCGCGATCAATATTGTAAATTGTGTGCGTGCACGTTAGCGTGATTTATATATATATATATACGTATCTGTATATATATTAATCTAGCAACGTCGTGGGTCTTAAGGGTCTTTTGGCTCGAAAGTCCAAACGTCAGATATAAGTTTTGCTGTGTCTTTTTCAAGTGAATTGAACAAACAACAACAGCAATAACAAAAAGAAGCAAAAAAAAAAACAGAAAAAAACGGAAATGCTCATTAATAATAAACGGAAGTTGCATTATTATGATAAGACGGCGTGCAGTCAGCTCTATGATGATGATTATGGGCTACGCTCTCCCTATATACATATCCATACATATATATATACATATAAGCCACAAGGATGACAAATTTTCACTTTTTCCTGCGATATATGCAAAAATGAACAAGTGCTTTACGTGTATCGTACACTTAAGGCCAAGAGTAGAGATACAATTGTGAAATATTTATACAAAAAACCTCTTAACGTTAGTCATTCGTAATAAAAGCAATTAGGAGAAGTGTTGCTCGAATAAAAAAAAAAAAAAAAAAGTTGAAGCTTAAACTCGTTTATGAACACAAGTGAAAAGGTTGCCAAGCTTAAATATAAATCAGACCCGAGCGCTCTTAGTATCTAGTATTGGCCTTATAAAAACGCATCCCGCCTTCACATGGCCCAAACCAAAATCACTTATAGATATGGCGTAACTAGTGCAAAATTCTCTTGCTTGCAATTTGGCAACTATAAAAAAGAAAAAAAAAAACAGATAAGATTATAATGGGTACTTTTGCTGCTATCAAATTCATAGCCTTGACTGCAATTTTTCACTTGCGTCGCAGATCTTGGAACCTAACATTTAGTAAGTTTTTATGCCAGACGAATGCCCTCATAAGAGGATTGTTTACTTTTGAATTAAGTGAAAAAGTAGAAATATATTACTTTTTATATGTGCCTTTGCAAAATGAATGCACAGGTAAAAAAATAAATTATTAAAAATAAGTATATAAAGTAAACAAAAAACCGAACAGAACTCACTCGTGTGCAAGCCAAAATAAGTAAGATCCATGTGTTTTTTATGCATATAATGCATATAAAGATATATATATGTATATATATATTTGCGTACATGTATGTACAGACAGCGACCGACAAACACACCTTTCTGGAAATTTGATACACCTGTATTTGTTTGGCGCCACCGTAAGATGAGTAAACCGACCAAAATTTAGCATATTGTCATATAATACACATTCGAATTTCGTTTATAAATATATGCAACTATCTACACGGCAAACAACGTAACCAAATACGTCGCAGGGGCCACATACAAAAGTTGTATTCGACGGCACGCGAATCTTGTTAAATTTGGCAAACTCAACCGGCCAGCCAGCCAGCCGGTTGGTCAGTGGAGAAGGGGTAATGCCACGACACTAACTGTAGGGGTGTGATGGGGGAGGAGGAGCTGGGAGCTGGGTGGTGAGGGTGTGTTCCTTACTGCTTTGTTACGCAACAAATGCAGTGACCGATCGATTGTCAACAGCCACGCGGCGGTTGCCGCGTCATTGTCGTCTGTGCATTGAACTTGGCTAATGTTATTGAGAAACGAAAACAAATATCTCGCTTTGTTTTATTATACCAGTTAAAGTAATTTCAGATTGGTCATGTTTCTGGTTGTACCACATGTCGTATGCATAATTTAAAACAACAAACACCTCGGCACAATAATTTTCAAGCTGTGCAAATTTAAACAAGGATTTCAAGCCAAACTTTCCAAGAATTTCGTTGTTTATCTTAAAACTAAAAACTGGACCAGTTTTTAAGAGTTTCTCTACGACAAAAAATTAACCAGTATTAATAGAACTCGTGACGTGGTCTGGGCTTAAAGTATGACAATGAAAAGCCCCTGTCTGGTCTATATATCCGTGTTAATGTGCTATGATAGTGTAGCATGAATTATGGCCAAGGTTTTACCAACTAAAGCACTCAAACAATATTGTATGTACACCTATATCAGATATTGCAAAATTTTCTTCTTTGCGTTTTAACAGCGCAAAAACCTTATCAAGCAACAACAATGGCAAAAGCAACAGCAACAAAGACAAACCTTTTTTTTCTGTGCTTTTATTGTTATACATATAGGGAAAAACACCTATGTATATACGTAGGTACGTACATATATCATACAGGTAAGTGGTTGTGCACGCTTCGACTGTTGTGTTGCCGCCACTTGTCAAAAAACAGCTCCAGCAGAGAATTATACTTGTGTATACATACATATTCGTATATATATATATTCGTATGTATTTAGTGCATGTCGATAGCATGTATTTGATTAAAATCAGGTGCTAAATCAAAATTATGACTTTGGAACATGTCTTTTGATTACTTTTTGAAAGTCAGTGTCTCTGATTGCTGGCAGCCAAGTGAAGCCCTAATCTAAATAGACCTCAAATTGTAGCTGATATCGTTTAAAGATTGCTTGACTAGATGTTAAATTTATTATAACTCTTATATTGCAGATCTCAGCGCGCAATACAACCAGCGCCATGTCCAAATCATCCTGCTCCTATAATACAAATACAACAACTGGCGGCAGTGCAGCGACAACAACGGGAACGTCCTCGGTGCGAAGTCAACGTGACAAAACGGAGAGCTATAAAAGTTTTTACGAAACAAATTTATAGATAGTGCCGGGAGCTATATACATTCTGACATATGCATGCATTTACGTATATATATAAAGCCTTAAATATATGTATATATATGTATAGACATATGTGTCCCCTATATAGCATTTGTATTACGCTTTATTAAATCAACCTAAGAGTTTATTGCACAACGTGTGGACTATATAAATGTGCAAAATTCGCAACAACAAAAAAATAAAAACAAAAGAACACGACGAAAAAAACATACAATAACTGCAACAACACAGGAAAAGACTAATTTTTGCGCAGGCTGCTTGATAAAGATTATTTTGTGTGTTTTTTAGTTTTCTGCTATTTAGTTTTAGTAGAGTATAGAACAGATTGGGCGCTAGCTTAGACATTCTCTAAATATATATAAACACATATATATATATATATATATATATATATATATATATAGATCGATTGTACTTACATATATAAAGTAAATGTATGAACATTATTATCTCTTTCTTGCTTAGATTGTACAAGTATTAAAACGTGATAATTGCACTAAATCGCATATGCATATCTTTAACTATACACATTACAATAGTATATATATACATATGTATATTTGTCTTAACTTTAGTAAAAATTCAATGCTTAAAATATAATCAAATAAAGCATAAGGTTCCTTTTCCTTAAACGTTTAATTCACTTAACTAAATCATGAGGCATCATCGTCGTTTTCGTTGGTGGCCACTGTTGCTCTTATATAGCTCACATCTAGCACACAGAATTTGGCACGACACATGGGACATGTGCATTTCTGTTCTAGCCATACCTCACGATCGATGTCACTCTGACGGGCTGCAAACCAGCGCGCCAAGCACTCCACACACCACATGGGCCGACAATAGCAATTGGAGCAGCATGCCTCATCTGTTAGAGGCGCGCCTGCCCGATTCAAATCGGAGCATTGCTTGTTTATCTTGATGTTGGGCTCGGCTAGCATGCAGGCAAAGCACTTGTCTGTAATGGGTTCCGAGCTAAAGATTGGATTGAGTGCCACCTGCGTTTTGAATACATCACAAAGCGATCGATGACGCTTCGATGGAATTGTATGTTAGAGGGTATGGTAATAGGACGTCTAAGGCGATCCTCCAAGCTACGAAATTCCAATGCATTGATGCGAATGTTAAAATCGGAAACACCTTGACGCATCGGACGCACAACTATGCTAATCATTTGCAAGGTATCGTTCTGATCGTGGTGCGATATATTGTACGTTTCCGCCTTCAAAAAAGTATTTTAGCTATCTAAAAATTATAGAAATTTGGAAAGCAGCCGATAAATACCTTGGCAACGCTGAGTGAAGTGTTGGCTTGATGAGCAAAGTTGACATTATACATGGTTGTTTTGATAATCCAGTTCTCTGTGGCAATCACCATGCTAATGGAGTTGAGTTTCTTTTTGTATATATCCTGGCGACGGAACTCGGTGCCAATGTCGCTGGCTACGACGCTGTAACTGCCTGGAGTATTCGAGTATTTAGCCAGTGTTTTGTTTATGGGATGTCGGCGCCAGTTTTGCTGATGCCAATTGAAGATCAGTGCCGGCACGGCTAAAACAGCCAGCACGCTGAAGCGTTGCGCCATTTTCCAGGTGAGTGTTTTAAAGGCCACTGCCTCCTGTGGCATGGGAAAATCCGGGTCAAGCTCATTATCTTCGAGCGGTTGTTGTGTGGCAAAAACTGAAAACTTCAATCTGTGTATGAGGAAATAGGTGACGGGCAGGCAGCTGTGTACGAAGAGATTAAGTGATGTGCGGCGCAAATGGTAGCCAACAAAATCACGATATTCCTCTCCCAGGAATCGCGAGAACACCTGCTCGATTGTAAAGCCCAGACGCTGAAATTCCTCGGGCGGATAAATGACGCACATGCACAATAGGAAGTAGAACAAATTGAAGAGCAGTTCCGACTCATCCATGTTGCGAAAAATTTTGAAAAATTCAAGAAAAACCAGTAATAAAATATACAAGTCCAGGGTCTAAATTAGAGATGCGCAATTGTTGTTGATGTGTCGCGTACACAGAGTTGCACTCGCTGTGGTCGATAAATCGATGAGTTTGAATTTCCGTTTTTTTTTTTGTGTTTGAGCGCGACTGACATATTCCTGTCAATTTCAAATTGTTTTGTTGTTTCTCGGTTGATCATAGCTGAGGGTATCCTGATGATTTTTTGAAATCCTCAGTGCTATCAAAAGTGGTAGCAGCGGAATAAGGTATATGCCATAATCCATTATGAAATCAATGGCGGAGATTATGAAAACCATTCTTCAGTGTTATAAATGTATATTTTTTGTAAAATTGTTTTAATACAAAACTTGCTTTGATTGATTGCTTGACTTGTGCTTTAGTTTGATGATGAAAACAAATGCAAATATGTAATATTTTGCGTCAAATGATTATTATATAACATTCCATTGGGTGTCATGGATGCTGTGTCTGATTTAAAGCGATATGTTAAATTAGGCAGTTAACAACTTGCGTTAGAATTTTTCTTATCCGGACATTATATACATTACTCTATAGCTATATCATTAGTATAACAAACCACATCCATTAACGGCCACTATTTTAGTGCTTAACGGAATGTGTGTGTGCGTTGGTGTGGCTTGCAAAAAGTAAACTAGTGCGTATTAGTGGACGGTTACTCTACTGCTGGAGTTCACTCAGATTCGGAATGTTGTTGGTGTAATCATCGTTGGAGGCCGAACTGGAATCGTTGGTAAACTCAAAGCTATTCTCGCCGCTGGTACAGGTAACTGTTGTCAGACTGGAGTCATTATTAGAGGTCTGATGATCGGAATTGCTCAGATTTGGTAGTGACACATCTGCCTCTTCGTCATCCACATCCACCACATCATCGTCGTCATCGTCATCGTCATCTTCTTCTTGGTCGTCGTCATCATTACTCAGGCTATTTGTGCCGCTGCTGTTGTTGTCCGCATTATCACCGCGAGCCTTGGCTCCATTGCCATCCAGCTCCCCAGCCCCGCTGGCAATATTCAAATTTAATGCGCTTATCGCTGGCAAATTATTGTAGCTAGCTGTGCTCATTTCTGGTACTGTTTTCGTAGCGGTCGATTTTGATGTTATTGCTGTCGCATCAGATGCGTCGCTTATCTCGCAGCTGGAATTTTCAATTAAAAGCGTTATCAGTGGCACATTTGGTATGGTCGCTGTTGATGTGCTTGCACTGCTGCGGCCATTGCTGGCGTTGTCCGATTGCCAGCATCCAGCGTCGTGGATGTTGTTGCCATTAATACTGCCACGGAGCTGCCATTGAGTATGGATAGGTTTGGTATATTTTGCGGCTGAAGTGTTTGTTCGCTTGAAGCCGCCAGCTTTTTGCTGCTTGCATTGAGAATTGAAAGATTGGGCACGTTGGCTGTGTTTGAGGCAGATGGGGCATTGCTTGCAGTTGTGGGAGCGACATTGCTGGCCGTGGCTTTCAGCAGACGCGAGGATCGTGCGGCTCGTGGTGGAGGCACGGGCACTGTGCTGGATGTGCCATTCTCAAGCTGCTGCGGTACGCTCTTGTCGCGTCTAACCATATGCTTATCGAAGTAATCCAGATTCATGCCAGTACCACGGGCTTGTTCAACGGCTGCATTCAATGCGGATGTATTGGGCTGGTAGCTAGCACCGTCCTCCACGTCCATGTCCTCGCTGAGATCTTCACTGCACAAATCCAAGCTGATGTGCGCTGCAGGTCCATCAGTGGGACGTTCTGGTTTCGGCTCTAAAACAAAGTGAAACCTGTTAGATATGGGTAAATTAAAATATTGCTGATGTTACTTACCATTCAGGAAATGCAATGCCACAAAATCGGCAGCGCTGTAGATCTCGGCATGCACAAGCAATTGCAGCAACACACCAACTGTGGGGCGTTCGTTTAGCTTGCCTGAGGTTTTCCACTCGTCAATCATTACCTGCGATATGCTTTGCCCGGGCGTTAAGCGTTCTGCGGTGCCATCAATCAGGCTTATTTGTTGGGCGGTATATTTAAGTCCCACCTTGGCAGCGATTTCCTGATAGTTGAGCGCACCCGGTGCGCTGCAGGCCTGCGCATCCAGGCGCTTCGGTATGATGGACATTAGCTTGCGCCAGCAGCCGTTCACATCGAGAATTGTGGCCAACTTGTATATGTCGTTGTCATCGACACGCCGCAGTTCCGTGCAGCGCGTATATTTTGAATATATGGGAACAGTGCTTGTGTTGGTGCTGGTACAAACAACCGCCCAACCGTTTGCTTTTGCCATTTCCATTTTGTTTCGGTTGCTGAATCCTTTAGCTTAACTACGAGCGAGCGTCTTTTGATTGGAGGGAGCTGTTTTCTGATTGTCACATGTGCCGTTATAAAAGCATTTTATTTATTTACTTGCGTTTCGTTGCTCTTGCGTTTTCACTGAATTTTCCTATGAGCCATCATCATTGGTTTCTCCGCACACACATATATGTATAAAAATACATATGGAATTGCCGAAGCGATCAGCTGTTTAAAATTTCAGAGTTGCTTTATCGATAAGCAATCGATAACATCGACTGCTCAGCAATCGAACTGAACTGAGCGCTCCAACATTTCAAATTGCTGTCTTCAGTACTATTATTTTAGAATTGATTTTAATTTTATTATAAAATAGCTGTTCAAATATTTGTATAATGGACACAATTACATTCAATCAATACATTGTATAAGTGTATGCTTAAAAAATCATAAACAAGGACGAACGAACACAGATAAGGTCGTAAAATGGATAGACAGCTTTGTGCTTATGCTAATTATAAAACTTTCGTTGGTAATTTCAAAATGAAACATACATATATATATGTTATAACTATAATAGATTTGTGTGCTTACATTGCTTTCAATTCATATGCTCTACTTATTTTTATATATTTAAGGTCACTTTCTTATTTGTTTCGCATATGTTCAATTCGCTGAGGTTTCGCTAGTAGACGGAATGTTTGCTGATTTATATCTAAACGAGACTCTTGAGTTTGTATGTATTTGTAAAGCTGTACGCTTTGCCAAAAAACTCGGACGGTTTGATTTCATATTATCTTATTACTAATTATTGGCGTTGGTATAAAAAAAGGTTGTGATAAACAATAACACGCTCATGATCAGCGCGGTATTGATGTTGTGGCCGTGTCGTGTATTCGCTGCATTGCGTGTTGTCTTGCCCATTTGGAAACGCAGAGTGGGACTGGACATGCGTCCATCGCCTCCATT